CACGTACTGCATGGAGCACTGGGTGTTATATGAAAACAATGAATCATGGAACACTACATCAAAAACTAATGATGTAATGTATGGTGATTAATGTAACATAATAAAATAAAATTGAAAAAAAAAAAAACAAAACAACCCACTGATCTGGATCGAATGTAGAAGAGGTTACGAGGATCCAGCTGTCTTCACTTAATGAGCCAGACGTTAAAGAGCTTTCTAAAAATGTAAAACAATGGTGGTCTTCTCACTACATTGTTTTAATTCTGAAGAAGTTTATTTTATATAAAATTGATCATTTATAGTAGCAGGTAATGGGTTTATTTGTGTTGATTTTAAAGGCATTAATAATTTTTAAATTTCTCAGTTTAAATTTCCAATGTGGTAGATATCAATGGATATTTACCCACAAGATAAACAAAAACCTCTCGGAGGCCCTCAATAGTTTTTCAGAGTGTAAAGGGATCCTGAGACGAAAGAGCTTGAGAAGCACGGCTCTGGTCTTAGCCCTGGGCACCCCCTCCCCAGCGCACTTCCTGCCCTCAGGAGCTCGCAGCCTAATAGGGAGACATGCCAGCAAACAACAATTTCGAATGCTGTGTGATGAATGCTGTAACCAGAGGCTCGGAATGCAAGAGAGCATGACAAATTCAGCCCTGGAGGAGGGAGAAGGAGAGCCCCCCTCCGCCCCCCTCAGAGGAGCAGGAGGATGAGGAGGAGGCTCCCAGGCAGACATGGAGGGTGTCAGTAGGGAAGAGCATCTCAGGCAGACAAAGAACAGAGGCAAAGGCACAGACAGAGGAATGGCATGCGCATCCTGAGTCCTGCAGTGTGAGCAGACTGGGCAGAGAATGTGGGAAAGAGAGAGGGAGATGGCTGGCAGAGCAGGTAGAGCCCAGGGCAGCCCAGACCAGAAACGTTGATGATGGGTCATCAGAAAGCCTTTAATTGGGGATGTGACAGAAGATTTGGGTTTAAAGCAAAAAAGTTGTGTCAACAGTGTGAAAAAGAAAGGAGTGAAGAGGCACGCGATGAAGAGAGGTAGGAGAGAGGTAGGAGACTACCACAATAAGTTCAGGTGAACAATAAAGCCTAAACTCAGGCACCGGCGATTTGGGAGCAGATGGGGGCAGGTTAAGGCATCTTTACCCAGGAGAGATCTGGAATTGGGAATGAGCCTGTCTGGAGGAAAGTTTTCAAGTTGAGTTGGGGTGTGTTCACTGTGCTGAATGTGGGACCTCCCGGAAAGACACCGAGTAGGCAGCTAGATGTATTCGGTGTGGTGAATATAGCAATCACCAAACCCATCACTGGCTGAGACTCCTTCAAAGTACCAAGGAATTTGAGAGGGAGAAGGGCCCCAGTAGATAGGCAGGTACAGTCCAAGGTCCACACAGAAAACATTCCCTGGCCCAAGGAAGATACCACTGGGACTCTTCAGGTTACTGAACTTGAACCAACTTGCTGGATATTCAAAAACAGAAGTGACGAGCCAGAAGCTGCTTTCCAATTCACAACCCCGGGGGCTCAGTATGTGCTTCAGCCTCAGTGGCGGTGGTGAGGATGGGGACTGAGGCACAAGGGGACAGAAGGGTAAAAGTAGACTGGTGTTGATTCAGAAGGATTTCTGTCCCTGCTTCAAAGAGAGAGCCAACCTTCCAAATGAACGGTGACAGCACCAACGTCGCCTCCTGGTTCCCATGTCAGACACATACAGAGGAATTTTGGATGAGGGAACCCAAGACTGAGGGAGTTTTGTATCTTACATGTGATCAAAACTGTTTCATAACAATGAACTAATTTTATCTCCAAAGCCAGGAAGCAGACACTCTGGGCTAAAACATGGATTCGTTTGAAATCCAAGGACTCGGTCTAAGCACACCGTCTGGTGGAAAGTAAGAGCTCTTACCATGTGAAGTGGACTTAGCAGAATGCTTCAAAATCAAGCATTCAGAGCCTAGCCTGAACTACTTTCCTGTCTGTTTTTCTGTCTGCCCTTTAGGCTGCTGCGTCTGGGGCAGGAAAAGTGCTACTCTTGTAAGATAGTTTCTATCTTCTCAACACAGATCTTCAACTTTTCAGTAATTTCCTTGTTGCTTTCTGCTTTGCAAAATGTTCTTCCATTTTTTAAACCAAAGTCTTTGAACTGGAGATCTAATTCCTTGCCTCTTCTGTCCTGGGCGGGGCTGGGAGATGCCTGACCGCTGCCAGAGAGAATCAAGACTGTGTCCCCCCGCGACCCCCCGGGGGGAACAGCATGGTGGGGGTTGTTGATGGCATGCACCTGCATCCTTTACGTCTTGCACGGAAAACCTTAGGATCCAGGAATAACTAGCTGGCTCTTCTCTATGTGTCTCAAGGCTTTCTATGAAGCCATGACATGAAAGTACCATGGGGGCTCCATGTGAATGGGACAGCAACAGTGACTCCCACACCCACCATCCTCCCTGTAAAAGGATCACTCCCGCCTCTTCATCTGTGTTAGAGGTAAAGGCGTTAAAACTAGAACACATTTTTTTATAGCATTCTTTTAGGTTAAACTCAGTTTTAAAATATAACTGAGCCAGTGTGAACCCCTAAACCTGATTTTGAAGGAAATGGGAACACCGCTAAGGACAAGTCTTCCCTGAATTATACAAAACACCTTTTGAATTAAACAAGTAATTCTTTTCACTGAAGTATCTAATTTGAATTTAAACATTTCTTTACATGCTACCTTAATTAGATGCACGTTTCTCTCAGCATCTTAATTTTATGCATTTTACACTTCTAAGCAGCTTGCTAGTGAGGATTACTTATTTGCATTCATTTACATACAATTTGCAAGAACTGTTGAAAAACCTAGAAAGGGAGAGATTGTAAATTCATGGATTTTTTTTCCCTAAATAAAAATGTCAATTCTATGAGGAAACAAACAGTGCATTTTTTCCTTGCTTACCTATAGTACTTTCAAGACTACTTTTAATATTTGTACACACAAAGAGATCCATTTAATGAATACTGGAATAGGAAGATTTTCCCCTGCAAGTTAATAACAATGATGAAAGAGGCTCCAAACTTCTAATTGCCTTCTTAATAAGAACATGAAACATTCTCAAGCAGATGATGCCTCCTGAAAAATATTATTTGCAAAGTGCATCTTCTCATACAATAAGGACATATTTTATCAATTCTACTCTAAAGATTCATCCAGTTTAAAACTATTTCTTTTAGCAATGGGTAGTTTATGCTGTATGACTTTCACTCTAGTTAATTGGATTTTCTCCACATCCCTCTCCTCTCTTGAGCTCGAATTTATATTCACAATAATTCCGCCTTCCTTACAAAAATGCTAACCGAAGCTAGAGGACCAGTTTGGGCCACTCTTTATGTCAGAAAATTCAGTTGGTTATTTTTCAGAGATGGAAGCTGTTGATATTTCCCTGGTTTGCAATGCCTTGTATTTCTCCTAATATCACAAAATATGGGGTGCTCCTCTCTTTGTGACCTTGAGCATGGGCTCAGACACGGCTCTGGGAATAGATCTCCTACAGCTGCCATTTCTGCAAGGACCATAGAGGGAGCAAAATGGTAGAAAACACTTAAAATATAAGTGCTCTTGACATTAAAATTTTATCTCCCTAATTTCTTGGGAACATGTCAGGGAGCTCCCCCACCCAAGCTTCATAAATAACGACTGCACTTGCAGAAGGCTCTCCCCTCTACATACTGAAAGTAATTTTAGGTTACTGATCTGAGCTTCATAAAAGAAAGCTGTCTGTCCAAAATAAGACATGCTTAGGCAAAAATTAGAGTTTTGACATTCTTCTAGTTGTAAAATAATGTTATCTGGCAGATTGGGTTTATCCTTGAAAAATACTGGAAAGGCTAGGCATGGAAGTTGCCTCTACAGAGCCAGAGGGGAGGCAGGGGCAACAGTGTTTGGTGGAAGTTCCTGATGCAGCAGGCTCCAGGAGCTTCCTGTGTGGGCTCCGGCTGGTCACGTGACTTCCCTGTGCCTCAGTCCTCCTGATGTAAAACCAAGATCTTGCAGAAAAAGCAAAAACAGATGCTGCACTTGAGATGATCTCTCTAAAGTAAACAAATTAGGGAATTTATACATCAACTGTGGTCTCTGGAAATCAGTGAGAACCGAGTTTCTTAAAATAATTCAAGAAATCACTATGAATATCCTGTAACATGCCAAAGCTATTTTTTTTTTAAGTAAACACTTTTCTCCCCCCATTCTCAAGGCACTGTTAGGTGGATGATGGAAGATGCACCGTGGATCATGGATGAAACGTATCTAAATTATCACCCACAGTCCCTGAAGAGTACAGTGGAACTGCAGTGAAAGAAAAAAGAAACACCATTTTTTATTTAAGTGATTAAGAAAACTTTGTCTTTGTAAACTTAAATTTTACAGCAGGTGTGATTACATATATTGAGAAAGTAAAATTTGGTGAACTTCTCTATTAAGCTAAAATTCAACCTATGCTTATTTATAAAACAGATTTGCTATTTTTGCTCTAGCAGAATCATTGAATAATTAAATAATTCTCACTCCTGATTTTGTAACATCCTAAATTGTCTTCAAATATCTCAAGATGTGCCCAATTTCTCTATGCTAAGTTAATGGGAGACTCCAAATTGCTTTATTTTACAAATAGTATTCCGAACAGTGTCTCTTAAGGAAAACCATATCAATAATTAATCCAATAGAAGAGTTGCAAAAAAGTTGAACACGACTGATCCAATGTTTGTGAGTTCTACCTTAAATTTTCATCTTGTTTAATCCCAATCTTAAAATAGACTTGATTTTTTTTTATTTGCCCATTTGTAATCTTAGACAAACGATAAGATCGGCAGCACTACAGTGGACTTTCTTTATCACACTGAGCAAGGTGCCTGCTCTTTTCTTTTCTGTTCAAGCAGTGTCTGGCACTTGGAACAGGCCCTCTGTGAACATAATGTATAATAAGCACATTCATAGAATGTCTGCTATGAATACACACATATACACATTAAGATACAAAGTGAATATTAACTGACAATACACAGCAACATGCCTAGGTGCTTGTCAGAAAAATTCTTTAAAACAGACAAATGATAAGTATAGACATCAAAAGCAAACATTTATAGTGTGTTTATGTGTTGGGACAGGAGACACATTTACCATCCTCAAAAAATTAGCTCCAGTTAGGAGACTGGATATATTTATATAACTAAGAATATAAGGCATCATATGTTACCATAAAAAATGAGAAGGGACAGAAGGTACCGTAAGAAGCAAAACTTAAAAATGTATTTAGAGTCATGTGGATGAGCACAAACATCCCAAACGGAATTTTAGGAAGAGGTGTGTGGTATCAGCAAATGGAACGGGGCGGGGTGGGGGGAGGGCTTGATGTATGCATACAAATGAATACATACTTGCATCACTCACAAGCAGAAAGCTTGCCACTCCTTAGCTACAAAACCATGGGCAAGCTCATTAACCAACTCTCTAAAACTTAGTTTCCTGATCTCTTAACTGTGGATAACAGTAGTAACTCACTGTGAAAGAGAAATGTTGTTAAAACCAACTGAATGCACGCAAAGCGCTTATACAGTGCTTGGTGCACAGACTATGCTTTCAAGAAATATGAGCTGTAATAGAACTGATTTACATTAAACTTACCTCACCCCCTCTTAGCCCAATTATTCATTCTTATGTCATTTAATTTGTTCTCATAATGACTTTTCCCATCCCTTTAATCAGTCTTGTTGCTGGCCTGGGAGCCCCCTTGTCTACACTTTCTAGAAATAAGTGACCCAGACAGAGTTCAATGTGGCGGTGCTCCCCGGGGTTACAGACTAGGCAATGACTGCATCTCAGCTCTGTGACATAATGCTTTTAGAGAGCACACTGAACTGTGCTAGTCTCTACCCTATCAGATCTAATTAAGGAGCACTATCATTTGAGAGTCACTCTTGAAAATCATCTTTAGGGGCGCCTGGGTGGCTCAGTGGGTTAAGCGTCTGCCTTCGGCTCAGGTCATGATCTCAGAGTCCTAGGATCGAGCCCCGCATCAGGCTCCTTGCTCAGCAGGGAGTCTGCTTCTCTCTCTCCCACTGCCCCTGCTTTTGTGTGCGTGCTCTCTCTCTGTTTCAAATAAATAAAATCTTAAAAAAATAAAAATAAAAATCATCTTTAGTCTTAATATCTCTGAAGCTCCTTATATTGTGTACTAGTTCTGGTGTTTATGACAACTTTTGATACAATACAGGGATGGTCCTATCTCCCATCTTATGCTGACCATTGTGTGAAATAAATAGGCTCTTCAGGGAAGCTTTGAACTCATTCTGTCACATAGAATTTCATGATCCTAGCATTTGTCCTTACTTTCTTTTGACCTGTAGTATCTTTTAAGTTAATACTTTGTGATACTTAGGTTAAATACTTTGTACTCTTCCTGTTCTGATTACTAATGAAGTTAAGAGGAAGACCAGAGCCCAAACCAATATCTGTGTGACATCCTATGAGGTGCCTCCCTCAGCCAATTTTTTGATGTTACCATGCAATGTCAGCTTTGTACGTCCATCTTACGAAATGGCTGGTCATGTCTGGAAGCAGGTAGACATTACACTTTATGACCTTGTGCTTTCCCATCTACACTCGCTAGATGAGAAAATATTCAGCCCCAAAGTAAGTTAAATTAATTTGAATAGTGTAATATCTTGAAACAATGTCTTCTATTCCAAATTTAAAATGTGTGTGTGTATGTGCGCACTTACACACACACACACACACATACACATAGACATATAGCTCATAATCTTGAACAATTTATTGCAGTTACCAAATACTATGTACGTATTCTTAGGAAAAAACACTTGCTTGTTTTTAAGATTCAGTTGGCTTCTGAGTATTCACAGATGGTCTGAATGTTTTAATTACTCAGTCTGAGGGACTGATTGGCCCAGGACTGGAATGAAACCTCAACCTCCTGGTTTTCGTCCCACTGGCACTCAGTTCAAACTGAACTCTTAGGACAATACATTGTTTTCCTCTAAGAAAAAACATAGACCACCTGTCCACCTCCACCAAACAAATAAAAACAACACAACAATAACAAAACCAACCTCCAAGTTCCTGGTATATACATACTCTTTTGTCAAACCTTCAACAATGCAAACACCATTAGTTTGTGTTTAATTACTTTAGGACATCAAAGTTGCTCTAGCCCTTCTCTCTTACTTAGACCAGGTGCTTACTGAGTGAACAGCAAACTCAGGACTCCAGGTTAACACATCAAAGTATTTTATTTTTAACATAAATTATCCAGTTATTTGCTTGAATTCTCCCCCATAGTTTAAGTGTAACCTTAGTTCCTACTACATCAGAATGTGAATTTGGGGGCACCTGGGTGGCTCAGCTGGTTAAACATCTGACTCTTGATTTCGGTTCAAGTCATGATCTCAAGGTCGTGAGACTGAGCCCCGCGTCGGGCTCAGCACTGGGCATGGAGCCTGCTTGAGATTCTCTTTCTCCCTCTGCCTCTGCCCTTCCCCCCACCTCCCACACCCCGTTCATTCGTGTGTGCTCTCTCTCTCTCAAAAAAAAAAAAAAGAATGTGAATCTGTTATTATGTAATGAGATGGATGAGAAATGCTCTTGGACCTTGATGTCCACATTACAGCTCTCCACATTAATAATGATAGCAAGTTTTTAGAAGATGATGCAATAATTAAAATTGTGAAAACATTCTATAAGCATAATTTCTGGCCAATTAAATTTTAAGATCACTTTATTTTTTGATTATCAAAGAACCCTAGTGAATTCAGATAATAAACAGAAGAAGATAAAAATCACTAGTAATCCTGACAATTATGATTTTAATGTGTTTGGTCTTTTTTTCTTATAGTCAACATTCAATTAGCAAAAGATTTATCATATTTAAATAGGTTCCACCTGGATACTGATTTTTTTACTAAAATTAATTAAAAGCTAGAAGAATGCCCATTTGAAATCACTGGTTGGCATGTGCATATACACATAAAGGGATATCTGGAAGGCCTGCCCCAGAAGGATCTTGATAGAATATGGCATCATCTTTATTTTTTTCTTTATGTTTTTCTGCGTTTCGAAGTTTTATAACAAACACTATTCCTTTTATTATCTAAAAAATAGAATTATTCTATTTTGGTAGAACATTTTCACTGGCTGTTATTTTGCTTTATGACAGTCAACTGAATGACAAGTGCACCCTGGTATTCTTTTATAGATTACAAAATTGTCAAAAACAGTTAATTCCCTCAAAAGGTGTCATAAAATAGGCAAATACGAAGGGAAAGAGGCAAATTGCCAGATTAAATCCCAGGCTTTGAATTTACCTGGGCAGTGACTTGATAGCTATGAACTCATCCTAATATCCCTGTCACCCTGCTCTATGTGTTGGGGGGCTGTTTTAGTAAAGACTGGCCTCAGCCCGGAGATGCCACAGAGCAACCACATGCAAAACTGGAGAGAAAAGTGCTGCTGTGAGGACCAAGAGGCAATAACAGATGCTCTAAGCTGACACTCCCCTGTGGCTGGTTAGCAAAGACAGAACCCAGTGAACGAGGCCAAAGTCATGGTTTCAAGTGGGTGACCAGGGAGCTTTGCTCTGCTTCACAGCCACTGAGTGCACCCCTAACTCCAGTTACCTGTCTGCAAATGCTGGCCTGTTGTGTTGGGGAAACCTGAATAACAACCAACATGAGCAGAATAAAGCAATCAGAGGATGAAAAATTCACCTTCCTTACCAGGCGTACAGAGCAACAGCACCTCACTCCCACTTTCAAAAACAGAAGGTGCAGCCTTTCTCTTCTGAGTGACTAATCAGAACAGGAGAATCGGCCAGGCCAAAAGAAAGGTGTGAGCTCTAAGACACAACCTAGTTCTACCTGACATCCTTCCAGGTTCCTTACCAAAGATGATTCTTCAAATGTGAGTAGCAACTGCACAGCCCAACAAAAAGTAAAATATTATATCCATGAAAAATGGTCCAGTGGTCCCAGGAGATGACATGTATATCCTGAATTTTGCTGAGGCAAAGAAATAATCGAGA